TAGATACATATATGTATATATAGAGATATGTTGCTACACTGAACACCGAATCAATTCCCGATTTTCGCTCACCTGTCCCTTGTGAGGTCGCCGACTTGATATATATATATATATATATATATATATATAGACACGTATATATAGAGAGAGATATATTGCGAGTCAGTTAGCAGTTTGCGACGTACAGTGTTCGAGGAGTGACAACTGCGAGGTTATTCGCAGTTTTCCCAAGGTTAGACACATATTTCATTAAAGGCAGTTCTTTATTTCCACAAATGCGAGTTAGTTCGCACTTTTTAAGCAATACTGCTGGAGAGTTGACAACCCAACCCGTGCGGCTTTCAGGTCTTCGGTTCCACAATTCCGAGTTAGTTCGTACTATCCCCTAGTGCTGCACATCGCCATTATTGTCTTGTCTGCATAAATGCGAGTTAGTTCGCACTTGTCGAAACCCTTCGCAATTGTCAATTAACCAGGACTTCAGTTCCACAATTCGGAGTCAGTTCGTACTTTCCCGTTGTACTTCGGGTTGCAATTGTCGGCCTGTCAGCAGAACTTTGAGTTAGTTCTCACTTGTCGATTCACACTTGTCGATAAACCACATCTTACTCGGTTCGTGCGTCTTTCAGGTCTTCAGTTCCACAATTCTGAGTTAGTTCGCACTTTCCCCTAGTGCAGCGGGTTGCCATTGTCGTCTTGTCTACAGAACTGCGAGTTAGTTCGCACTTGTCGACACCCTTCGCACTTGTCGATAAACCACATCTTACTCGTTTCGAGGGCATCTAGTTGGGTTGCAATCTTTCCAAACAGTTATCGTCTTCCCTCCGAACTTCTGTCTTTCCTATCCTTCAACCGATTGTTGTGACTTCGTGTGCATTTCGAACACCCATCTCTTACGTCCTTTTCGTCCTCCATTTCGTTCAGTCCGAGTTAGTTCGCACTTCGCTTCTGAAGTGGTCTGGGGTTGGGCGTATTAGTCATCTGAGTTGGTCTGAGGTTGGGCGTGCTAGTCAATGAGTGGGAATACAATGGCGTCCGCAAAGAACACATCCACAAGCGCTGGACCATCTGCCCCCGGGGAGGGACGACCTGTATAGCAACCTACTCCTCAGTATATGCACACAAAGGGAGCACCATGGTTTTTGGACTTCGTTGTTCAGGGGGACCTTTTGGGCCAGCTGTTTTCATGCGACCCACTTGCGTTACAGACGCTGGGGGAGCGGTCAATGTTGTTCCTCTCCGTATCGTCGTCTCGTGCGCGAAGACTCCTGGAGGTTTGCTCAAGCTGCACACTAATGGCGTGTACGACGAGTGCAGACTGCCTATTAGAGGTGTTAAAGGTGTGTTGGTGACCATCAAGATTTTCACGGGGTACGGCTCGAACATGCCGTTGTGCTCTTCATTCAAAGGCCTTTACGATGGCGGCAGCAAGCGTCTTCCATCGCCAGAGCAATATCTCGATCTCGCGCTGATGGTGCCGAAAGAACGTCCGGACTTGCATTCTCAGGGTACAGGGACTCAACGGGTCGGTACTCCGAAACTTATCAAGGTCCGCTGCGACGCCGACACGTATTCACTTCGAGATGAGACGAGAAGAGATTCAAGCAGATCGGGGCTAGATGTTGGATGGAATGAGGCCGAAGGGATGGGCGCTGTTCGCGAAAGCTCTGGCGGGGAGCAGACTCCTTCGGAAAAGAAGAGCGAGCGACAGAGGATGGTGCGACAGGAGGTGGCAGAAGGAACCCTCCGCATGAAGAGGATGAGAGGAAAACCGGAGGCGTTGATGGGCGGGGATGGAGGTGGCGACGGAGAACATGCCTCGGGAAAGAAGCCGACGAAGGAAGAGGGTGGGATGGCAAGTAAGAAAGCGAGGAGGCCCGACGATTTGACCATCCGCGAAGGACAAGCCGCGGGTCGAGGAGATTCGGCTGATCCAGGCGCTGCGGCCGCGAGAGAACCTTCGTGGAAATCGAAACGGAAAGTGGCAGCTGAAGAAGGCGATGGCCAGAAGAAACCTCGAAGGCGGAAGACTGCTGAGGCGGCGAGCCGTGGCGAAGGGCCTGTCGGTCAGGAGTGCGACGAAGCGGCAGCGTTCTGGCTCGAATACGAGCGGAACGATGTCGGTGAAATCGTGGAGAAGGAGCTCCCCGTTCTGCTGCTCATCGACCCCAGGAAGGTCTGCGACATCCCGCCTGGGGAAAGATATTACAACCACCGCAGTCTAAGTCGCGAAACTGTGGACGACATCAAGGATGCGATGCTGAGTCAATTCCGCGAGAAGATGTGGACGAAAAACCCTCTCGTTTTGGCACCCATCTACAAGCCGGTGATGCGTAGGCCGGAGCAAGCTGACAGGGTTCACAAAGATGTCTTCAAGCCAGAGGACAAGGACAAGTACTACTATTACCTTGTTAACGGACAACACACCGTGGCTGCTGTGAACGAGTTGGAGGGTGAGCAGATATTCGATTTGTGGAAGATGCACTCGTGGGCAGCGAGAGTAGTGTGGTTCTCCGACCGAGATTTCGCGGGGTATAGGCAGGTCAGTCTCAACGAAAACACGAGACACAAGATGTCTAAGCAGCGATCGCAGAAGGCCATGTTCTTGGACATGCGGGAGGCATGGGAGAACGAAGGAAGGTCTATGGCCATTCAAGGGAATCTTTCCGGCAAGGAGGCCGAAAAACAAAAGTTTTTCAATTTCCAAAAGTTGATTTTGGGAAAGAGACTGAATGAATCTCACTGGGCGTTGTCAAAAAAAGATTTGCCGCTCGCCGACAAGGAGTATGTCGTTGCCGTTGGCAATGCATTGAGGCAGTGGATGACGCTCGTGACGGCCGGTGATAACGTTTTCCGCAAAGCCATGGAGTTCTACGCGAAATGGGCGGAGGGGAAGTTGTTGGGCGGTGACGGCAAGACGCCATTGTTGAGGCCGGGCAAATACATGCTAGACAAATCTCCGGGTCTGCAAGCAATTCCGGAAATGGGCTTGAAAGGGGCGGCTGGTGAAACGAAGATGGGGTGGCTGGTCCGGGTCCCGCCGCCTCCGACCAAAAAGAAAACGCAACCGGACGACAAGTTTTTCGTGGTCGTAAAGGAGCCAGACATGTTCTATTGGCAGTCTCTCGCCGACATGACCGATGTCGAGAAGTTGTCGATCCTCGCCGACATTCTCGCACTACGGGGAGTGTTCGTGCAATCCGCGGGCGGCCATCTGAAGCGTCAGCATAAACCTGGAATAAAAGACATGGTCGCGACGAGAAGTTCGAGAGGTCAGCGGGGATGTCAGGCACATCAAATGGTCCGACCTCAACCGGGTGACCAGCCTTATTCCTTTCGTTTTCCCGCCTTCCCAAACTCACGGTCATATCATTGCGATCCGTGAGGTTGTGGGACATTATGTGTGCAACCTGTACGTCCTCGATTTGTGTGATCCCACACTCCTCACAGACTGGCGAGAAGACGATTTCGCCAACTTGCAAGGCCTTCTACAAACACTTTCGCCAACGCACTGGGCACTTGTGGTCTTTTTCCCCTCTCGTTGGGAGCTCATTTTCTTGAAAGGCATGGCCAGGCTTAGCGTCCATCACGTCAGGACAGGGAAGTGGGTACGTAATGCACAAAAGCAGGTCACTGTCCAGGAAGGCAATATGCTGGTTGAGGAGTGTGACCGCCTGTACGTGATTTTTAATGGCGAGAAGCTGGAAGACAACACATTCGCAGTCTACCCGGCCAGTAGCCCGACAAAGCCTTCCCGTGCTCATGGTCCAAGTCTGGCCAAACACACGGTGGCAAGCCGCTCGAAAGTTGTCTGTTCGTCGGACCCATCAGGACAGGCTGTGGCGTGTTTCGACGTGGCGGAAGAGGAAAGGTTCTCTCGTAGCATGTGGGAGGACGGCGGCGTGACAAGTTCTCAAGGACCTGCTTACGGGGAAATGGAGCGGAACCCATCCCGTCTACTTGGTCTACTCGAAAACTTTTGCAAAGCTGGTCAAACTGTTTTTTTCTTTGGGAAGGCGCATGCGTCCAATGTGTGGAAACTCCTGCGCACCGGTCGGAACGTCGTCGCGTTGGAGAAGGAGGCGAAGATGATCGATTACTTTCACGAGTTCGTGAAGGCACGCGTTGCAGACACTCGCAATGCTTGCGAGTTTTCACGGTCCACCGGCGAACGAAACTGGGATCCCAAACGTGACATGTATTGGAAATTGTCGGGGAACAAAAGGACGGACGTTTGGGACTTCCTTTTCGAACCCGGACCGCCTGGTCCGACCGACCTCGAATACAGTCGACGGAGAAACCTGGTGTTCGTTGTGCTCAATGGGTACCACGGTGCACCCAAGGAGTCTGTCTCGCACTTCCTGAGAAGGCTGGAGCACGTTTACTTCACGCTGGCCGAACCGCTCACTCTCGAAAACTACAAGTCRMAGTTTGACGAGGAGGACCCTTTCGACGCTGAAGACATGGAGGAGCTGAGCGACTCCGAAACCTTCGATTTCGAGTCCATGYCACTTCCTCGGGTGGTTGGACAGGTTGGTGATRAAGAGGAAGGTGGCCCTCGGAGATATAGCACGTCCCCTGCCAGTTTGAAGCGTGTGTTTCGGGGCGAACCAGTCGACGACCAATCGTCTGATGACGGGGAGGAAGAGAGAGACTATGATCACGAACCTTGTGACAGGCTCCCTGTGGACCATGACACCTGGCAGAATGACAGACTCTACTTCTTCGTCAAGCATCACCGGTTCACGTTGGAGGATGTCTGGGGACACAACTTCGTCTGGCACCCGAGGATATTCCAACCTGCTGTGAGGAATGGAATATGGGTCATGGCAATAAAGGAGGCCGATTGCAAGTGGAGTGGACTGAAGAGACTGGGAGCGGGTGCATTTAAGAGAAAGGCAAGAACTGCTCTGGTGGAGCATTTGAATCTCATGAACCCCAAGAGGAACGATCAGGACGTCAATGCGTATGCAGAACAAAAGCTACATGAGTTGTACGCCAACAACATGTTGGAGTTTCGAGCGCCTTTCTACGCACTCGAAACGGCATCGTCTCGTGGCATTGACTGGCGCATGCCACAACCTCCGCCGGCCGGTCAGCATCCGGGAGGGGGTGGTGGAGGAGACGAAGGAGACGGCGGAGGTGGCGGAGGAGACGGCTCACAGTTTGCCGAAAAGGGGACGGGCGAGATATCGTCGGTTGAGAAGGCGTCCGGCGAAAAGAGGTCGGGCGGAAAGGGGTCGAGCGGGAAGCGGTCGGGCGGGAAGGGGTCGGGCGGAAAGCGTAGAACGTCCGAGAGTCCCCAATATATGGAAACTGACCCCCAGTGCGTAGGGAGTCGAGATTCCGACATGCGAGACGAGGCCACCCTGACGTCTGATCAAGTGCGAGTAGATTCGCACTTGTCGGCGAGGAGTTTGTTTCCCGTTGCCCAGGAGAGTCCATCCCGCCGTGGGCAGCAGAGGTCTCCTGTGCTCAACACCTTGCTCCTGAAAGAGGGCGCGTCTTCGTTTTGCCTGGAGGGCGGGATGCCTGCATTGCGAAGGAGCGAAGGTGCGACCTCCGGTTCCCTCGGCTCGGGCGACCTCCACAAACTCCGAATACATTCGGATTTGCTGACGTCGCCCTCTGCCATAAGTGCTCCTCACGCAACAGTTCCGCGGGGCCAAGAAAATGTGACGTCCTGGCCCCCGCATCTTCAGTTGGACATAGGGTTACCCTGCTCGCCTCCCTTCTCATGTGTTGAGACTCGAGACTGGCGGTCTCGCGACGTGCTGGAGGGGCCCGCTCCAGGAGTGTTGGAGACCGTGGGTAGCGAGAACGAACGTCACACTCCTGGGGAAGACGAGCGCTCTCCGGGAACGCGCGTTGTACATCGGGAAGAGGAAACTCGACGCTGGCCGTCTCCCAAAGTGGTGGAGACCGGGGGTAGCGAGTGTGAACGTCATGCTTCGGAGGGTGCGTCCGTGGACACTGACAGCGAGAGTGCAGGAACTCCGGGGGAAACGCATGTTGTACAGCGGGGAGAAGACACTCAACACGGGCCGGCTCGTGAAGACGTGAAGTGGCTCCACGCACGAGCGCTGGTGATCGGGACGTCCGAAGAGGTTCGGTACAGTCGCTCGGCTGTGGCCACGACGCGAGAGGGTGTCGTTAAGGGAGGTCAGTGGACGTCCGTGCAATCTCCCGTTCTTGGCGACGATGAAGACGAAGAAGAACCCGTGGTGGAAGCTCGGGTTCATGGCGATGAGAAAGGCGGAGAACCCGTGGTGGAAGGCTGTGAGGTGACTGCCGACATCCGGACGGATCCACAGCGGAAAGATGGTGATTCTTCGCCCACCCGTTGTGGTGAAGAACAGGGTGGTCGAGCGTCTGTCGTGAGCACCGCTCGGGGAATGCTGCTTCGTGAAGCCATAGAGTTGGGTGACGACTCGGCAGCCATCGAGCTGGTTAGCGACTCAGGCGTAGCCGAGATGCAGAACGTCGAATCCTCCGTAGAACGCGGTGAGGTGGCCGTCAGCATCAAGATGGATCCAGAGCGGAAAGATCATGATTCTCCGTCTACCCGTTGCGGTGCCGTTTAGGGTGATCGAGCATCTGTCCTCAGTACCGGTCGGGAAATGGTGCTTCATGAACCCATCGACTTGCCAAGCGGCTCAGTTGCCACCGAGCTGGTTAGCGACACAGCCGTGGCCGAGGTCCAGAACCTCGAATCGTCCGTGGACGTTGGCGCAGTGGCGCGACAGGAGGGCGAGTTCCCTCAAAGGGCTCTCGAGCACGGTAAGATTTATGAATAGGACCACTCGCATATCTGTCACTGGCCAGCTCTGTGTTCGTCCAAATTGATGTCATGGACTAATGTACCTGTTACCACTACTTAAAAAAAAACTTGTGGGTTGTGGGTTGTTTTCTATGTTCTACAGGTGTGAGGTTGTTAATGTCCCTGCCCATGAAGCCTTTAAAAGTCGTGCGCGAGAAACGTCTTTCAGGGAGGTCATTGGCCGCTTCACCGAAGAAGTCGTCAAGTGTAGGGTTGTTTAAAAGGGTCCAGATGCCTCGCCTTTCCCAGAGAGCTGTCAGGGTTTTGGAGGCTTGTGGAATAGATAAGGAGGAAGGTCTGCGGAAATATTTGGCTGCGTCTATTGAGAGCGTTACTGCTTTGTTTGACGGGTCTGATGACGATGGCAAACGGGGTGTCTTGAAAGACCCGTGTCCTAAGTACATCACGAAGGACACATTCAACAAGCGGGGATACAACTTTTCTGGGAAAAGGACAGACAGTTCTTAGCCATTCCACCACGGGGTTTGTGCTCACTCCTCACACTTATTCGTGGGTGTTTGTGCAGCAGGGGCTACGTCATGTTTTCGCGTTCCGTTGCCTACTGAGGAGCTTAGCGCTACGGACTTGAGAATGTTGCGGAACGTCTGTAGAGATTACAGCAAGGGCCACGAGGTGGTGTGCTCGGTTCGCAAACGGGTCAGTTCAATTCTGTTGAGCAAAAAAAGTCTTCAAACTCTTGTTCAGGGGGAATGGCTTTTCGACGAGGTGGTGGAGTTGTACTTGGCCTTGCTTGCCAACGCTATGTTGCCTGGGTGTCCCTCTCTTTACATTTTCAGTCCATTTTTCTATACCAAACTCGTCCGTGGCGGCTATCGACATGATAGGGTTGCGAGATGGACAAAAGATGTGGATATTTTCCCGCACGAGATGGTATTGATTCCTGTCCATAAACATGGAGTGCATTGGACCATATTGTGTCTCCGAGAACAACGGCTGGAGTACTACGACTCCCTCATACACGACGATGACGGTTTTTCTTCCAATGTGATTGCGAACTTCACACAATACCTCCGTGACGAAGCAGTTTGTCATTATGGTCCAAACACGAAAGTGGATCTCCAGGAGCCCAAGGTGGTTGTTCGTGGTGTCCCTCAACAATCAGACGGGTCGAGCTGCGGTGTTTTCATGCTCACCTTCGCTTCATTTCTTGCACGCGGATCCGCCACCATTTCCGATAGCCCAAAGCGACATTCCAAACATCCGGCTGAGGATTGCGGTGGACATACTCCAAGGCGCTAAATGATACCACTGTTGTAAAAACACGCGTAGTTTTCTTTTCGAAATGTCATTAGCAGAAGTGCGAATCTATTTCCACTTGATCTAGCAGTCAGCCGGTTCGAGTTGTGTTGTTGTTTTCGTGAGGTGCAGGATTGCAGTGGACGTTTTGGTCAAGTACAGGCTTAGGTGTCGATGTGAATATCCCAGCCTCGTGCTGTATCAATTTTTTAAGGGTTCTTCATTTCGTGGAACCTGTCATCTTTACTCGTAGGACTTTCGGCAGCGACGTGCTTCCTTTGTTTGTTTTCGGGTTGTTCTCATTGCTTGTCGCGCAACATCAGCTAGAGGGTAGCATCGGACGCTTACGTGAAGTAGAAACTCAGATGCCGATGTAAATATCCCAGCCAAGTGGTGCAGTTCCTTTTAAGTAGACACTTACATATCGGATGTGAATATCCCGACTTCCTGCTCCTTTTGTTTATTTTCGGGTTGTTCTCCTTATGTCCTTTCAGGCCACGGAAGCACCGTGCTGTGTTTGTTCGTTTCGAGGTTGTGCTCCTCTTTTACTCATGTGAAAGATATCGACGATTTATTCTTGGTCGCCAAATTGTTTCGTGCTTACCTCTTTCGTTCGCGAGACTTTGTGGAGTGAAAGCCCCTATCCCCCGCCCCACCCCAACCAACCAGCTTTCATATGTTTTGGTTCGCCCTTGTTCTGCATATGCCGCCTCGTTTTACGGTTCACCCCCTCTGCTTGTCTCGATTGAATGTTGTTTGTTGGTTCCTTATGACAGTTGCGAACTTGTTCTGCATTCGGAAACCAATTGTCGCCAGAGAATATGTGTGCTTGAAGTTGTTTTACGGATTCAGCGGTGCACTTAATGATCACCAATTTTGTCATCCCCGGAATACATCTCGTACTCTCCACGGAATGCTGGTTGTTGTTTCCGTATAAGAAATGATAACATATTCGCACTTCGGATGCCGTACATTTGTGATTGAACTGTTGGTTCCATATGAGAAATGAGAACATATTCGCACTTTGGCTCCATGTACTTTGTGATATTTGGAAAGCCTCCGTGCACTTTGCAATGTGGGATTGTATGATATTTTGCGTTCAATGACTTTTTGAAATGTCTCTGTGTACTTTGCAATTTGCCCTCGAATGAATTTTCTGCATTGAATGGTTTCTGGTACCTATTCGTGTGTTGTGAGACTTCACCTTTCGAAAAACACTAGGCAACTTGAAATGTTTTCACCTCGATGTTTGCGATGTCTCTGTGTGCTTTACAATTTGACTTCTGCTTGAAGTTGTTTAACGGATTCAGCGGTGCACTAAATGATTGCCAATTTTGTTATCCCAGGAATACATCTCGTGCTCTCCACTGGATGCTGACTGTTGTTTCCGTATGAGAAATGCGAACATGTTCGCACTTTGGATGCCTTGCATTTGTGATTGAACTGTTGGTTCCATATGGGAAATGAGAACATATTCACATTTTGGCTCCATGTACTTTGTGATTTTTTGAAAGCCTCCGTGCACTTTGCAATGTGGGATTGTATGATATTTTGCGTTCAATGATTTTTTGAAACGTCTCTGTGTGCTTTGCAATTTGCTCTTGAATTAATTTTCTGCATTGAATGGTTTCTGGAAACTGTTCGTGTGCTGTGAGACTTCACCTTTGGAAAAACAGTAGGCAACTTCAGATGTTTTCACCTCGACGTTTGCGATGTCTCTGTGTGCTTTGCAATTCGACTTGAGATGTTTTTATCTCGATGTTTGCGATGACAAGAGATACTTGTATGAATGGATATGAATCTTCTACACAGAAAGATTTGATGGCGTTTTCAACCTGTGATATACAAATGACAAGCCAATGTCCATATTAAATCGTCGCGCATATGCACTGCGCAACTGCTTATCCATCAAAGTGCGAGCTCAATCGCACTTCTGGTGTGAGCCCTGAGCAATTCCCTCACACTTTGCTTCACGTCGAGGAGGGGATCGAACGCACCGCCGGTAAGCACCTGCACATCACGAAACAAGAGCACGTCCCGATTGGAACATCGTCGGGTCCTCACCTCATCGACTCTCAAGATGACTACAGCCAAGAGCGGTAGGATGGCAGGTCCGCCTATCCGATGTGGATTTCACGGTGGAGTGCGAAACTCTGCTCTCGAAGATCCAAACCGGGTAGAAGGTCCTGCAAGCAGCCGCTGCTTGCTTGTAAGGCATCTTATAATATGTCGATATAACCGACATCCAGAACTACTTGTTGAGCATCTAGTGCTACTCCAATAAGTTCCAAACACGACAGCAAAGTCCCCTAAGACTGTTCTTTGTCGGGTCCTCACCACATCGACTCTCTAGATGACTACAGCCAACAGCGGTAGGATAGCATGTCCGCCTACCCGATGTGGATCTCACGGTGGAGTGCGAAACTCTGCTCTCAAAGATCCGCACCGGGTAGAAGGTTCTGCAAGCAGTCGGTGCTTGCTTGTAAGGCATCTTATGATGTGTTGATATAACAGACATCCAGAACTGCTTGGTGAGCATCTAGTGCTACACCAATATGTTCCAAACACGGCACCAAAGTCCCCTGACAGTGTTCTTTGCCGGGTCCTCACCTCGTCGACTCCCTCAAGATGACTACAGCTGACAGCGGTAGGATGGCAGGTCCACCTATCCGATGTGGATCTCACGGTGGAGTGCGAAACTCTGCTCTCAAAGATCCACACCGGATAGAAGGTCCTGCAAGCAGCCACTGCTTGCTTGTTAGGCATCTTATGATTTGTCGACATAACCGACATCAAGAACTGCTTGGTGAGCATCTAATGCTACGCCAATAAGTTTCAAAAGCACGGCAGCAAAGTCCACTAAGAGTTTTCTTTGTCGGGTCCTCACCTCATCGACTCCCTCAAGATGACTACAGCTAACAGTGGTAGGATGGCAGGTCCACCTATCCGACGTGGATCTCACGGTGGAGTGCGAAACTCTGCTATCAAAGATCCATACCGAGTAGAAGGTCCTGCAAGTAGCCGCTGCTTGCTTGTAAGGCATCTTATGATGTGTCGATATAACTGACATCGAGAACTGCTTGGTGAGCATCTAGTGCTACGCCAATATGTTTTGAACACGACCGCAAGATCCCCTAAGAATGTTTTTGGCACTGGAGTCCTCTGACCGCCGACTGTTTGGCACTTCGTGAAGGTTGACACTTCTTGAAGGTGGTCTACCACTTCTTAAAGGTGGTCAGTCACCAAACAGATCACGACCTGACATCGACCTCGATAACTGCGAATTGACTCGCTGTTCAACTAGAGTCCCTCTCTCTCTCTCTCTCTCTCTCTCTCTCTCTCTCTCTCTCTCTCTCCTCTTTCTCTCTTTCTCTCTTTCTCTCCTCTCTCTCTCTCTCTCTCT